TGTTTCACTCTCACTCTATTGCGCATGCTATCAAGCAATAGATTTGAAGTTTCGGCCGCATTTCATAATTACACCAAAGGATACAGGTATCAAAAGTATACTAATACGTAATATAATAATAATACCTGTATAATAATCCACCAGGATTAAATGAATTTCCGTCAAATAATAGAGCACAGTATAAACTCTTTAATTTAGTCATCTCACAGTAATGACATATGTCTAGCTCATGAATTTTTAATACATGTGACACCATTTACTGCCCATACTATTGCTAACAATTCAGTTAAAAAATGATTTAGATGGATATTGTCATTATATTATGATGAGCTATAAAACATTGATTCATTATATTTTTCTGGAACTCTGATTATTTTTTCTGTTCTAGATTTTTACTAGCTGCCTAACATAAACAGCTGCATATTGGAAAAACATCCTTTGCTCGTAATAAATGCAACACAAATAATAATTACGTAAAATAATTGTAGTTTTTTACCTGATAAATATAGAGATGTCGATACGAAACTTTCCATTTTTGTTACTTTTTGTGTCACCTTGTAAAAGAACAATGAGAATTTAAATAAAATAGCTCGAAATTCACCTACAGTTATTAATAAAGTTCTAAATAAAATTAAAAAAACATGTTTTATATTTAATTATTCACATCATTTTGAGAAACAATTAATATAATAAATAAACACCTCCTAGTGAAAATATTTACATTTAAAACTTGAGTTTGTCATTTCCAAGTCAATCTTATCGCCACCAGATTCCAATAAAATAAAAATTGAACTTATTTATATATATATATTTATAATTATAAGTGAAAACATAAGATTTGGAAGTGTGCATGACTTAAGTTTATTTTATTTTTATATTGTTTATTAATTGATTGTGAAACTTGACAAAAAACTTATAATTTGTGTCTCATTTATAGAGAACATCAGAAATCGTACATTGAAAGCGACGAGGTTTGTATTTAGAAATGCAGCTAATGTAAATCTCGATTCAACTAAAACTTGATATAGTAAATATCAACTAAAACTAGGTATAGAATAGTATAGAAAAATGTGTACTTGATAAATTGATATTTAGCAAAATCGCTGCCTAAAGGACCTAAGAAGATACTCTTGTTCAACGTTTTAATTGTTAGTATTTTAGAATACTGTAGGAAAGTATGTTTTACTTACTTCGAATGTTGAATTGAAATATCTGATTTAATAGTCATAACTTTTATATCATTTACATTTGTAATGGAAAGTGACTTCATGTGTTATCTCATATTGAAGAAATTTTCCAATTTGACGACTCTGTTTAATACAGGGAGAAAAAAACAGCCCTTGCTGAGGTAACCCGCCGTAGATTTGCGAACCGATGACGTAGCTCTTCGACATTCTCAAGTGCTTGTAACAGCCTAGACTGAATAAACGATATTGAATTTTGAATTTTTCATTTGTGAATATCATTATAATAATTATAATGAAACATGTTGTATTCACAATTCAAAAAAGATTGAGCTTATTTAAAAATACAATAAAGTTATGTTTTTATTTTTTTAAGCATTTAACTATTAGATGTTTAAATCTAAAGAAAACTTATACTACAAAATAAACTATTTTTTTTTCTCGTAAAGCTTTTCTTTAGAATACAATATATTTTAATTATTAAAATACATTGTATTTTTAAATAAGCTCAATCTATGCTAGGTAATCTGTAGTTGTTTGAAATTGAGTCATATAGTATGTGGGGCTAATAAAAATTTACGGCTATTGTTGCACTAAACTCAAGAGTTAATACTCCAAATAGCTATTTTATTCATTTCTAGAAATATGTCATATTTAAATGATCTTCGGAAACTACAGAAAACTCTTAAAAAAAAAGGAAATTCAATTGCATATTTTTTTTAAATGATCATAAAATATATGTTTGGGAGCATTACTGTGTGTGTGACGAAAGTTCTGTTTTGTTTTTTTCTGAACAGGCGTTTTCCTAACACGCCTGTTAGTGTTATGCCACAGTAAATATGATTGAAATCCCCCTTTCCCCTTATCGGGAATGAAATGAAATAAAATTATCCGTACTTCATTCAAATTTACTTATTGATAGCTGTTTTAAATCATCCATCCAGATCGACTCTGTAAGTACTGATTCATTTATTCATTCATACCATCACAAATCGTTAGGTGTTTACTAGCATAGTTACCAATTTTATTTACTGACAACAATGTTTTATATCTGTACTAGCGGCCCGCCTTCGCTTCACTTCGGTGTAGAGCTGAAGTGTAGACTACAGTTTTTGTTCCCAGGCTTGTAATATACACAATGACATTCAACTATGATTCTTCTTATACCTGCATGCAAAGTCTCAGCCCGATCGGTATAAAATTGACAAAGTTTTATACAAACTTTCGTTCCCTATTTTATCCCCTTGGGGTTAGAATTGATCAAAATCCTTTCTTAGCGGATGCCTACGTCATAACATCTACCTGCATGCCAAATTTCAGCCCAATCCGTCCAGTGGTTTGGGCTGTGCGTTGATAGATCACTATGTCAGTCAGTCACCTTTGAGTTTTATATATATAGATAGATATATGTTACAATATGAGGTATTTATCTATGGACATATGTAGCGTGATCATAAATAAAAACCGACCAAGTGCGAGTCGGGCTCGCGCACCCAGGGTTCCGTACAAACTCAATTTAATACCCCTACGCGTTAATGAGAAAAGAGGTTAGTAACTTTAAATTTTTCAAAAATATTTTTTATAATATAATGTAACTAAAAATTTACGGTTTTCGCAATTCTTCCTATATCTATACTATGAGACGTTACTTCGTACCAAATTTTAAGATTCTAAGTTCACGGAAAGTACCCTGTAGGTTTTGATTCCCGTGGGAGTTTCGAAAATTTGCGGAAATTTGCGGCATAAACGGCTGTATCATTTGATTGCTTTGGCTTAAAAGTTTGTTTTTTTCACAGCTCCAAGGGGCAGTAGACATGAGTATTAGATATGAATTTCAGTTTGATACCTCGGCGCGCTTCTGAGAAAAACGGTCTTGACAGACGGACGGACGGACGAAAAACGAAGTGATCCTATATGGGTTCCCTTTTTTTCCTTTTGGGGTACGAAACCCTAAAAATAATAAAAAAATATGTTAGTAACAATATAAGTTGAAAACAGTTCATAAAACATAAAAAACGCGACAATAAAATGTAACCAACTGTAAAAAATTATGTGTAGTAACCTCGACCTTAACTTCGACGAGGAGCTCGATGACGCATTCAGCCTGCGATCGTGAAAGTTAAGCAACTTTCGCAATGGTCAGTCATTGGATGGGTGACCAAAAACTTATTATCTTGAACTGCTCCATGCTTCGGAAGGCAGGTAAAGCCGTTGGTCCCGGCTGCATCTACAGTGGTTAACAAAGAATTTAGCCTCTAGATGAGGCTGAGAGAATTTGCTGCACAATTTCATCGAATCCCGCTTGGATGCACTCAAATCAACAATAGGATTCAGTGTCCGTTACAAAACTGTTGGGACACGTGTGACAGGACTCCGTCTACAAAGCTGCAAAGACAGCGACATTGATTTATCTTCCCAGGTAACATAGAGTAAGACGCGGAAGAATCCCTAAACGGAGATCCCGCGGTTTCGCACTAAGCAGCTTAGAGGGTATTCGCAGGGTTTTTAGCGGATATTATACCGTAGAGCGCCCGTGAGAGTTACGTAGTCCTCGGTGGACAGCCACTGTGGGGGCTCGTAAGGTTTTCGGGAGCCAGGTGTGAGGTCCGTTCGGCGGTGTGCCTCTTAAAGGCGCCGTCGTCTGTAAACAAGATTTTTTTACTGCGTCACAAAAAATAAGGTAACTTAGAGTAACTAATCGTAGCATAGTCTTCGTTATTAATAAGGGTGTTAATGTTTTAACTTTCTACCTTATTACGCTTTGAATCAAGCTTTATAGCTTCCATATACTTTCTATATTTTATTTTCCTATATTTACGTTTATTTATTTATTTTTACAATGCACAGCCCGCTGTTTCTACTATTCTTATGGTATCGTTTCATTTAGCCAAAGGTTGCCTGGTAGAGATTGCAACCTTAGCAATAAGGCCGCCTTTTGTGTTTGCGTTCCTGTTTTATGTGTATTGTTTTTTTTGTAATAGTGCAATAGAAAGTATTCATTCATTCATTCATTAAAAGTCGAAAATTCAAATTACTAGCTAATTCTGGTGTTATGATCCAATTTCGATGGAGGGGTTTCTAATTACGCTGGCCATGCAATTCCGGTGGCAATTGATAATTTCAAATACAAATATCTCAAAAAGTACTAATTTTACTTCGATCACTACTATAAACCTTCTAATGGATTCTTGCCAAATGCCAACTATCATTTAATCCATTTAAACTTACGAAAGAACTGATATTAAAATGTGAAACCCAAAATTAGGCAAAAAGTTAACTTGTTGAACTACCCTTCTGAAATTTCATTATGATACCTATATAGCATTCTTCATAAAAAAACTTATCTAAGTATGTTTTTAGTTTAAGAAATGATTGTCAGTTAAGACGGCTAAAAATTACGTTTGATAAAATCGTTTGGGTTATTATTATATTTACAGAATTTGGTTTCTTTACAAAGAAATTCAATAAGATCAACTAGCACCATACATCAAATTATAAGAAAGCCAAAATGTATTTGAAAAAAAGTTGCTTTAACGAAATGAGTCGAGCTCTGCCTTTTGGCAGAGCTTTTGCTCTACATCACGATTTGACAACTAGCGACTTCTAGAGACATAATTTTGTACTAACTCATTTTGCTACTCGACACTAGATGGCATTACTAGTGACTAGCTTCAGATTGGCTGAATGAATAAAATTTCCTTGGCTTTTATATTTTTAAGCCCACATGACAGCCAATGCGAGTTGTATTGCAGTTATCTTCAGACAATTACAGGAAAATATCCACAGACCATTTTTTTTATTAGAAATATCAAAAAGATGGCTTCCGTAAAGTTTGCCGTTGTTGATGTTAACGATTTCTTGTCAAAAAAACAGGCAGCCGAGCCTGATATAGCAGCAGACTGGGCTAAACTAGAGGAACTTTACAACAAAAAGTGAGTAACCAATAATGATACCACTTGTGTCCTAAGTTTTGCTTCGTAAACAAACCTAACCTATCATATTCGTTTTTTACAGATTATGGCATCAATTAACATTGAAACTGATGGATTTCGTCACCCACCCGAGCCTGCAGGCGGGCGAAAACTTGATCCAGCTGTACAATAACTTCTTAACCACTTTTGAGAACAAGTAAGAACTGCAAGTCATTTACTTTGGTGATGGTATAAACAATGATTTACTCTTGTCAGTAATAGTAATAAGTAAGTCCAATTTTGTTAAATCAAGAAGGTACATGGTCCTGGAATTTGCTTCTGACATTACCTGGACTAAGACTAATCATAGAAATATTCAATCAAAATCGTTTATTCAGCACAGTACACGGATACAGATAAATTGTTATATTTATAACTTACAAAATGACAATTAGATACAGACATCTATAATAAATACCACTTAACATATACCATACTGGCGTCGATTCCGGCATGACCCCCCAAATGCAAACTTAAACCTGACAGCAGCGTATCCCTGTCACTATGTATAGTGAATGAAAAGGACTGACCGATGCCAAATCTGAATTTAATCTATTAACTTAGGACTGATCCTAAGTTAATAGAATCATGCCAGAATCGATACCACTCCATATCCACGGCTGCGCTGAAAAGGGCCCAGTTCAGCATAATGTCAGTGCAGTATGCACTGGCGCTGATTTTCAACTGGGTCCTTTATCTGACAAGTGGATGCCAAACACTAACAATTTTTTATATGCATAATTATATAATTTAAAAGAAAAAATATAAAAAGGGGCAAGGCTGTGTAAATCCGTTGCTTTTGCACCAAGACTATATTTAACTATATTACTATATTTAAACTCTCTTCACAATATGTCTTTAAATTTCAATGAAATATGTTTCAGGATCAACCCCCTGTCACTTATGGAGATCGTAGCACACTTGGTGAAGCAGTACACCAACAAGAAGGATGCAATCGCATTCTTGGAGAAGATGGAACCTAAAGTCAAAATGAACGATGAAGCGTTAGCCTTATGCAAGGTAAACTGTTTACAGTAATTTGTTTTTAGTTAAAAATCTATTTGACAGGCAAGCATGAGAGATTCTTTGTGTGAAACCAGTGATTTTTCGTTCTATTAGTCCTGGAGGCCTATTTGCTAATTACTTTGGCATCTGTCAAAAGCTTTCATCTGGAAGTGAAAATCAGCGAGCTATGAAGCTATCCACTATTGCTTTATTCTAACGCCACTAAGATACTTATTCTGAAAAACATAGATAGATATGCAAGTTATTAGTGTAGACTGATCGCAGAAAGCGGTAACACAAAAAAAGATATGCATTTTTCTCTTTAGTAACACACTGTAATTGTAAAAAAAATGGGTGCGTGTACTTATGTAGGCGCGTGAGAAGTTATCCTTCTTTGGCATCGTTTAAAATTAGTTTTTAATTGCATGCAAATAATTAATTACCATAAATTAATAAAAAGTCTGGAAAAGGACACAGTCAATAAAGTTCAGTTTTAATTTGAAAAAATAAATAAATAATCAAAATATTCAATTAAAATCGCTACTGAATATAATTTATTAGAACATATGTGATTTGCACTTGTATGAAACTCAAACACGTATTCCGAATATACAAACTAGAAACATGTGGATAAATATTATAAATATGAATACCTATAACTGTTACTTTATTACAATAATAACATAAAAGTAACATTGAAAAATAAAGATGTGGTTTTTGGTTCTACTACACCAATGGTCAAGAGATGGCGCTGTAGTCTCCTGAATCGCGCTATGGTTCCGTTGTTCCAGATTAATAAATACTTTTGATAGGCCTTCACAATGCAGTCGTTAGCACCCACTAAATAGAGATTCTATTTCTATTTTGTTGGTAGATTTTCTTAATGTGCGGTAAACACAAAAGTAACCGCATGAAGTTGGTCCCTAAAGCGACCAACTTCATGCTGTTAAAATTTTGTGTTACAGTGACGCGTGCGCATCTTAAAATTTCACTCTCATCATTTTTTCATAACGCGCCTAAAGAAGTATAACTTCAAAAAGTTAATGATTAGGGCGACTGGTTTGATTTCCAGTGCAATATCTGTTTAAATTATACAGATAATAATTAAAATAAAGCTTTATTTGTTCATGTCACTTCAAAATAACGGATAGGACTTCTTTATCACAGCCCATTAATGTCCCTACTGCTGGGGCACGGGCTATCCCTATTGATAATTTCACATTTACATCATTATGAGCAGTGTTCGGTATTTGCATTGCAGAGGCGATGATTTTTGGTCACATGTTCTCAGATAAATCTGAGCAAATTGTTATTACCCGACCGACAAACCGTAGATTAATTTAGAACCGGACTGATAACCAGATCAATCTATCTCGTCGGTGAAAATACTACAAGTAAACAGATTAACATCAGACTGATCTCAGAGGAATTTATGAGTGTTTCATATTTATTTAATTTAGGAGTCATAATCCAACCGATTCAGACGCAAATAACGAACGCACCTTTGGTTTTCGTAGAAAAGATGAAATATTATTCTAAAATTTCAAAAAAAAAAGGAAAAGTACTAGGGAATATTTTTAAAATGTATCTAATTAGGCATCCAACTTGCCAATAACAGAAAATAAACTCCTATATTTGTGTATGACTCATTTTTTAATTAAAACATATGTTTTATGCACTTAATGAGATGAGATTAACTATTGAATGTGTATAATTTTTATGAACATTTGTATGTTGAAGTTATACTTTCTTTATTCATAAGAAGTGTTTCTAATTATATGACCACCACTGTATATGTCTTGTGACGCTCCTGATACATATCCATTTCATCTTTTCCGTAGGATTTTTCCATTTACACCTTGTCCGAAAAGAAGTTTATGCATCAACCATCTTCTTCCCATTCCAGGTGCTGCAAGGTCAGATTCACCTGGAGCATCTCAACGACCTCGACGCCACGGAGAAGATCATAGAACATTTGGAAGGCACTTTGGAAGATGCAGACGGAGTCACACCAGTGCACGGCAGATTCTATAAGCTTGCCTCAGAGTATTACAGGTTCGATTACCTTTCATAATGATTGATCAAAATTTTACCTTTCTGTGTTCAAATATTATATTGAAGTTCTTCTGTCTCAATGGCCACAGACAGAGAATTCAATTAACTTAAGTCTTCAGTAAATGCTATCACTTCCTTTGCAATGACAATGAAATAAGACAACCCCAAAACTTAATGAAGCATTAAATTAATTTGACATTTTTAAATGCAGCTGAGTTTGCTTAGAAGCAACAGACAGAAAGAAAACGTCATTTTATTTTTAATAATAACAAGAACTGCATAGAGGTCGTCAAATAAATAATAGTTTATACCCATTGGTACTGATAACGAATTAAACCAAGCAGTTAAAGTATTGGATAATAATTTCGGATATTTTGATATTTTATGAAAATATTGGATGTTTTCGAATCGCTTCCCCTTTATTATTCTTTTAACATGATGTTGTTTGGGTGGATAGGGTATCTAAATAAATATAAATAAATGTTTCCAACGCTCACACCAATTAGCCTAGCCCCAAAGTAAGCACTGTAAGGCTTGTGTTATGGGATGCTAGGGTAACGGATAGAATACATATACTGTACCTATATAAGTATGTTTATATAGAAATACATTTTTAACATCCATGACTTCAGTACAAATGCTTGTGAAAATATTGGATGTTTTCGAATCGCTTCCCCTTTATTATTCTTTTAACATGATGTTGTTTGGGTGGATAGGGTATCTAAATAAATATAAATAAATGTTTCCAACGCTCACACCAATTAGCCTAGCCCCAAAGTAAGCACTGTAAGGCTTGTGTTATGGGATGCTAGGGTAACGGATAGAATACATATACTGTACCTATATAAGTATGTTTATATAGAAATACATTTTTAACATCCATGACTTCAGTACAAATGCTTGTATTCATCACACAAACATTGCCCCCACCGGGATTCGAACCCGGGGCCTTTCGAGTCGGCCGGAAGTAAGTTTTTTGTGGTGAATTAGGTAGTGTCTTTAATAATGTGACCACCACTGTATATAATAAATTTCTATAACTATATAAAACATTTGTAAGAAAATTTCAGTAAATTTATAATATTATGCATGGTATAAACGAAATCGAAAAATTTGTGCGCCTATCAGGGCAGAACATGATGTGCTTTTATGTAGATAATTAAGATCTGTATTTTACTAATGTTTTTCAAGTTAAAACACTAACTTATGGCATTGTTCGGGTCAGGGTCCGAGGCCCCATGGGTCGGTATTACCGCGCCGCTCTCCGTTACGTGGGATGTCGTGCCGGAGGGGCAGATCTACCGACACCCGAACGACGCCAGGTGGCGCTGAGACTGGCGCTAGCTGCCTTACTGGCGCCAGATGTCTACGATCTGGGGGAATTGGTGAGTTTATTCGTTATATCGTAATATCTGGTTTTTTTCGAGCGATGCCAGACTGGCATTAGCTGCCTTACTGGCGCCAGATTACTACAATCTGGGGGAATTGGTGACTTTACTCTTTATATGATACTTATACATATAATATGTATCAAATGCTATGTGGTGATGGCTACCTTGCTGGCGCTAGATGTCTATGATTTGGGGGAGGTGGTGAGTATACAGTTTTTATGATACTAATATGTATAATAGGTATCAAATGTGAGGTGGTGATGGCTACTTTATTGGCGCCAGGTGTCTATGATCTGGGGAAGCTAGTGAGTTTACTCATTATATCGTCATATTATACAGATCTATCTTTACCCGAGCGACGCCAGACTGGCGCTGGCTGCCTTACTGCCGTCAGATGTGTTTGATCTGGGGGAGTCCGTGAGCTTACTCTTTAAATCTTAAAATTTTAATTAACAATAAAATTAAATTATAGAAAAAGTCATATTCACATAATATATCACCCCCACTAGAATCCTTATTTCCCAATATTTGCTTTTCCATAAATTAACCATAATTAATTATTGAAGTGAAACTTCTTTATCGGCGTTGGAAAAAAAATTACCGTCAAATTTTTCCGTTACGCGCCATCTTTTTTTATATTAATAGTTGATAGCTGAATGATCACACTGTCGCCGGCGAGAACTCTCTCTACTCGTTTGTAGCTGAGTGACAATACTTATTAAAGATAAGACTCGCTCAGCCAAACTCTCATAGCGATACTCGCTCAGCGATACTCGCTCAGCGATACTCGCTCAGCGATACTCGCTCAGCGATACTCGCTCAGCGATACTCGCTCAACGATACCGCACTCGCTTATCGTTCATCGTCGGAGGTGGAACATGCGCCTTAGATTACTGAGCCGTGTAATCATAACAGTTTCATAGGCAGTAATTTGTATTCATGTCTATGATAATAAAATCCTTTTGTTTAAACTTTATCTAATTTAACTTTATTTAACCAATTTCTGGAAAGTTGCATGTAGATCATTTTTCGAAAAATAAGGCCATAAAGAAGTTTCACTTCTTACGTGTGTACACTAGTACACGCACACATTTTTTATAATTATTAGACTTTATCTAAGAAGCTGTGGAATATGTTTAACCATTTTAATTTTCATTTCACATCGTATGAGATTTATTTGATGTTTCATAAAATGTCATCATATATAGATAAAACTCAAAGGTGACTGACTGACTGACATAGTGATCTATCAACGCACAGCCCAAACCACTGGACGGATCGGGCTGAAATTTGGCATGCAGGTAGATGTTATGACGTAGGCATCCGCTAAGAAAGGATTTTGATCAATTCTACCCCCAAGGGGATTAAATAGGGAATGAAAGTTTGTATGAAACTTTGTCAATTTTAAACCGATCGGGCTGAGACTTTGCATGCAGGTATAAGAAGAATCATAGATGAATGTCATTGTGTATAATACAAGCCTGAGAACAAAAACTGTAGTCTACACTTCAGCTCTACACCGAAGCGAAGCGAGGGCGGGCCGCTAGTTTCTCATAAAAACATACAGTTTTCTTATAATGGGATTGTCAATTTTCTTTTTATTTTATTGTATCTGCTTCTGCAGTATGGGTTTAGTATACAAACATTAACATTATTGTGACTTATAGCACATTCCGTGCTTCGGAAGGCACATTAAGCCGTTGGTCCCGGCTGCATTTGCAGTCGTTAGCACCCACCAATCCGCACTGGGCCCGCGTGGTGGGTCATAGCCCGCACTCCCTATTCCATCCATAGGGAAGGCCTGTGCCCCAGCAGTGGGGACATTAATAGGCTGATGATGATGATAATGATGATAGCACAGCTTTGTGATACCAACATTGTTAGAATTTCCATTTTTATAAAATTTTAAAGTTAACCGTGATATATTTGTTTCTTAGGTTTTCACGCACATCACTCATTAAATAAAACTAGTTTTTACGGGTTAATGCACGAAACTTTATTTATTTATTGACGTTTCGTAGCCTTTACAGGCTTCGTCGTCAGAATAAAACTTTTATTTAATTTTAATTGAAGGTAGCTCGACAAATTAAATAAAAGTTTTATTCTGACAACGTAGCCTGTGAAGGCTACGAAACGTCAATCTTTATATATATAATTCTTCTGTGAGTGTGTATGTCACTGAACTTCTCTTAAACGACTGGACCGATTTTGATGAAATTTTTTGTGTGTGTTCAAGGGGATCTGAGAATGGTTTAGATTCACATTTTTTTCCGCTGGACAATGTTTTTTTAATTAATTTTTTTATGGCGGTACGAAGTTCGCTGGGTCAGCTAGTAAATAAATAAAGTTTCGTGCATTAACCCGTAAAAACTAGTTTTATTTAAGCGTGATATACTCTTTTAATTTACTTTTAAATGTATTTTTACAATCGTAGTTTTTGAAGTTATACTTCTTTAGGCGCGTTATGAAAAAATGATGAGATGAGAGTGAAATTTTAAGATGCGCGCGCATCACTGTAACACAAAATTTTAACATAATATTATATATATATTTACTTTTGCGTTTACCGCACATTAAGAAAACTACCAACGAAATAGAAATAGAATCTCTATTTAGTGGGTACTAACGACTGCATTGTAATAATAATAAATTTTACAATTTATGCTTTCCTGGGCAATCATTTAAAGAAATTGTAAATAATGTTACAATGCATAAAGTAGATAGTTTTACCAATTTAATCATTTTATGTGGTGACAGCTCTGACGTTAGAAAAAGGGACATATTGAATAGTTTTAATGTATTATTAAAGTTACAAGGAGAAACTAACTGCAAATTAATAATCAGCGCTTTCCCTTATGCTAAAAATTTGACGTGGGATGAAAATAAGCGCATCTTTGATTTAAATACATACTTGTATAATTTGATTAATCGTCATAGTGACGTCATTTTGTTTTTTGACATTAATAAATTTATTAGTAATTTTAAACTGACTTCAGATACTATGTATCTTTCAAAGAAATCTCGGACACAATTAGCTAATTTGTTAGCTTTTAATTTACAAATTGTAATTACTTCTTTTAAAACTGACATTAGTACTTGTACTAATTCAAATCTTTTGATAAATTGTAGTTCTACAATAAACTCTTTAGATTTAAACTGAAGCGTATGACAAAAGCTAAGCCCCATTATGTCAATATTATTCACCAAAATATCCAGGGCTTGGCCGGCAAAGACTTAGAGTTAGAATTATTAGCTAAAAGTCATGAAACTCATATCATGTGCATAACTGAACACTGGCTGCAACAACATGAAATGTCATTTTATTTAAACAATTTTCAACACTCCAGTGCATTTGTACGCAGGACAGCTATTCATGGAGGGTCTTTAATTTTTGTAAAACATCATGTAAAATGTAAGGAAAGAAAGGACATTGTAAGCCTTTCAGTGGAACGCCATGTTGAGCTGTCGTGTGTAGAGTTAGTAAATTTTTATATAGTATGTGTATACCGGCCCCCCTCAGGAAACTTTGATACATTTGAATCAGTCATGGAGGAATCTCTCAATAAATTAAAAAATAAATCTGTAATAGTATGTGGTGATTTTAATGTCAATCTACTTGAAAATAGCTCTTTGAGTCTTCGGTTAATTACTTTGTTTAAATGTTTTAATTTAAATTTCCAGTTTACTGAACCAACCAGAGTAACATCTCACTCAGCCACTTGTTTAGACAACTTTTTTTCTGAATTGGATGCAATTGAAGGGTCAGTCTTTAGTGATATTACTTCCGATCATCTCGGTTTAAAGACAACATATAGTTTCAATGTCAGTACTGAGCCGAACATAATAGAGTGTAGACCTATAACAAATGAGCGCGTTAATAATTTTAAAAATAACATTAGCGATAAACTTCCTTTAATGCCTTGGACGCATGATGATCCGGATATTTTGTACAAAAATCTTTTTAATTTAATAAATAATGAATTTCAAAATACGTTCAGAATGAAAACCATTAAATGTACACAGAAGTTGCAGTTCTGTGACTGGGCGACAAGTGGTATATATAAGAGTAGAACAAGGCTGTATGAGCTTTATAGAATCAAAGAATATAACCAGGATCCTGAGTTTATTAACTATGTTAGAAAATATTCCAAATTGTTTAAAAGCATATGTAATACTGCAAAGTCCAATTTTATTAGGGATAAAATTAAAAAATCTAGTAATAAAATAAAGACCACTTGGGATATCATTAAGCGCGAAAGTGGCAAGTGTAAGCCTCGTGAAAATAGCATGGTTCTTAAAATCAATAATAATCTCGTAAAATCGAAACATGAAGTCGCAGATATTTTCGATAATTTTTTTATGATATTTTATGATGAATGGTATATGGTATATACCATTAGAAACTACTTCCAACTTGGACTCATCGTCTGATACTGCTACAGCTCTGTTACAAAAATATGTACCTCCGTGTGGTTTATTATTTAATTTCAAGCACGTTAGTTCTTTTAAAATAATTAAAGTTTTCCATTCATTAAAAATGAAAAATGCATCTGATTTATGGGGTATATCTGTCAAAGTCATAAATAATATTATACATTCTATAGCCCCTTACCTAGCTGATATTTTTAATTCATGTATAGATCAGGGAGTATTCCCTGATCTTATGAAATTCAGTAAAATCATACCTTTATTTAAGTCTGGAAATTGTAAAGATCCTAGCAACTATAGGCCAATATCTATATTACCAGCATTGAGTAAAATCTTTGAAAAAATAATGTTAGAACAATTGTTGACTCATTTTAACATTAATAAACTTTTACACAGAGCGCAGTACGGTTTCACTAAAAACCGTTCCACGACTGATGCTGGGGCCACTATGCTAAAATATATATTTAATGCTTGGGAAAAGTCGCAGAATGCTCTTGGGGTTTTCTGCGATTTATCTAAAGCGTTTGATTGCGTTAATCATCAAACTTTGTTACGGAAATTAAATC